TTATCTTGCTGTAAAATATAAATCTGACCCTTCCAATTAGGAAGACCAACATTGATAAATTCGGTTTACTTTTTCGGAATCCCTTTTTATAGTACCGTTTTTATTTGTATTTTTTGTTTTTATTTCTTAAGCTTGTTTTTAAGAGAAAAATAAATGAAATGAAATTTATGGAAATTAAGTCCAATTTTCTGAGGCCCTGATGAACACCGTCCAATATTATATCTTTATGATTATTTTTCTAATGAAAATTGAAATGCGGAACTAAATTCTGATTCCAATGAAAACCTAATGGTCATTTTTAGTTTTTTTAAAGTAATTTGCTCCCACACCTACCCATCATCCAGCCCTTTGGCGTCCACCCATGACGCCAAAGAAATATTTCAACGTGACGTTTCTAAATCGTAAATAGTTCGCAGTGTAAATTATACATGTAGGCCTATGTGGGTGGGTGTGTATGTGTGTGTGTGTGTGTGTGTGTGTGTGTGTGTGTGTGTGTGTGTGTGTGGGTGGGTGTAGGGGGTGTGGGTGCAAGCTTGGAAGTCTACACTGGACCAGCTGCAAATTTAAGGCATCCCGATTCCTTGTATCACATAGAAGAAAATGAATTATATAATAATAATAATTGTGAAATGAATACGGTACCTAACATCGAATTGAGGTTCCATTGAAATATCGCCCTCAGTACAATCGTGTTCCCTGTCTTAGCTAAAACCGTACATTATTATCTCAAACTCGCTGATATAAATCCAGCGTCGGTCATCATCTATCCAGATCGTTAGTTTATACCATTGGTTGTGTCTTTAAGGTAGCATACTCCAAACATCGGGTATACGTAATATTATTATCAATTTCATGACATGCTCACTTGTCATTACGGCAGAGAGAACCAGAGACCAGCAACAACTGACGTATTTGGTGCCTATGTGATCCACGAAGTTGCATCCTACTGAGGTTTGTTTGGATTCTTTTCTTTTTTTTTTTCTTAAAGGCATGTCTTGGTTATACATACATACACAAACACTCAAAGACTCAGGCTTACTTCATTGGATTCAGCTTAATATACCTCAAAATGTTAAATCAATCAAAATAGTACAAATTCGAAGTAATAAAGCTGTTAAATCATGTAAAATCATTATTCAGTTAATCATTACACCTCAAGACACAGAAGAATCATACAACATTTACAAATACAAGAAATATGTTGAATAGGGGTTGATCCAATGTCGGATGTAATAATGTAGAGTGCATACTGGCTTCAAATACAGGGGAATAGAAGAGGAAGGGGTGGGTTCCATAGCTTACCCCAATATTTTTCACCAATGGTGACTGTGATGTGCACATAAATGATGAATCTTGAAAACACTATAATCCAGGAGTTTGAAATAGAGAGGGCCTGGATAGGGATTTCTGAGATGGAGGGTATATACTACCTCAGCTCCACCATAGTTGGGACTGAGGTAAGAACATTTATGATGGCACCCCTAGATGGTCGGAAATAGCACTCTTAGACTTAATTTTGAAAATTTGGGGTGGGGGGGGGGCTGGCGGGCTTCCCCCACCCTGAATCCGCCACTGATATTCGAGATAAACTTGTCACTTCAATGATTTTAAACCTTAATGTTTTTATTGCAAATTACTGTAAATAGTTAATAGGCCTATAGGCTTAGGGTCTAATTTTTTTTAAAATTTTCGAATGCTTTCACACTATTGACCAAACCCTCCTCTTTAGAAAATTATGACATTAAAGGAAATTAAACGAAATGGTTGAAAAGTTATCCAACACAATGACAACTAGTAGCAAAATGTATCAGGTAGAAATGTGTTAAAACCACTTATATGAAAAGTTATCTAACACCAAGAAAACTAATAGCAAAGTTTTAAACGTATTAGAACCACTTGAACGAATGTACGCGATGTTGATTACAGTTTGTATTTGTATTTAATTATTTCATGTATTTTATCACTTCCTATATCATTACAAATTTAGAAAACAAAAACAAAACAAGGGTAATTTCAAATATGTCAAATTACTGTAAATAGTTAATAGGCCTATAGGCTTAGGGTCAAATTTTTTTTTATTTTCGAATGCTTTCACACTATTGACCAAACCCTCCTCTTTAGAAAATTATGACATTAAAGGAAATTAAACGAAATGGTTGAAAAGTTATCCAACACAATGACAACTAGTAGCAAAATGTATCAGGTAGAAACGTGTTAAAACCACTTATATGAAAAGTTATCTAACACCAAGAAAACTAATAGCAAAGTTTTAAACGTATTAGAACCACTTGAACGAATGTACGCGATGTTGATTACAGTTTGTATTTGTATTTAATTATTTCATGTACTTTATCACTTCCTATATCATTACAAATTTAGAAAACAAAAACAAAACAAGGGTAATTTCAAATATGTCAATGAAGTGTACCGGTTTGCCAATAGCCAAATTAATTACTTTCTAAGTGGCTTTCCAACCGAATATGAATCCAGAATCGTATTTGCTAATGAGTAGTCAATAATTCCAATAAATCAGTGAATACTTTCAATACTATACATCAAATAATTTTGCAAATTGGCACAACTCTAATCAACAACGCGTACATTCGTTCAAAACTAGGCGGATGCTAATTGAAAAAACATGCATGTTTTGGCATTACCCCTGTCATCTTCAGCGTAGTGATTGTTTTCATGCAATCCTAATGAAGTGAACTATATATATATATATATATATATATATATACTGTCTCTTATACAC